ATCTATTTATTCCAAATTTCCTGGTCAATTTGAACAGTTCCAGTAAAATAAAATCTCTTTCTCGGCAAATGGATACTTATTTTTGGTGTAGACACCGAATGCGATTGGGATGCTGTTAGCAATAATACAAATAGCATTGTTTCTAATATTCCCGATGAAACAAGGACGCCTTTCACCAATACAACGGTGTTTCAATCCTTCATGCTGCGCTGCGGCGGCCTCCTTTTCCTCCTCTGATGAAAACGGTTCGCATTTCGAATTCAAATTATTACATTACTTAAACACTGCATACACTATTATAGGTATTAAACAGGGAAAATATATTAAGGAATATCCGATACTTACGACTTCGCCACACTTTTTAAACTTGTTTTTTGATGTAATCCAGCAATTTTTTACTTCTATAAGTTAATTTTGAAATTTAAAAAATCTTGGTGTGCTTTGTAATTTGTTTAAGCAATACACAGTATATTATTTTCTAACAGTTTGTTAAATTTGTTCGAAATAAGGAAAATTAAGAAAATTCTATGTTAAAATAACCATTGTTGAACAAGAGGGTAGGCCTTTTTTTACTTTTAAATTAAAGCTGCTCACATCTAGCTTCTCCTGCAACTACCGCAGCGAAAAAATTCGCAATTAATAGTAACTTTCACTTCATTTCAGGTTTCTTACCTTGTAATTCATTTCTGTCTAGAACTGAATGAATTCATATTTAACAAAATGAAACTGATTGTTCGTTTTTTGCAACATATTTTTATCGGTAATCCAATTTCTGAAATTACAGGGTAATAGGTAAAGTAAATTTTACAAATTCATCGTTAACTGTATAGGGTTTTAGACTGAGAAAGTGTGGGAGAATGAGCATAATAAGTTTTGCATCTTCAGTGAACAAATTGGGAAGAAAGATCTAAAATTCATGCATGTTGAAATTATGGAGATTTTAGTCTGTAAATGAAATATTCTGTTAGATTTTTCCTAGTAATCAAATTCTGATGTCGATTTCATCAGTTTTAAAGATTTCTTTCATTTCATCATGATTCTAAGAACTAAAATCCTGCGTAGTACTAAGAAACGAATCGATTTGATTTTATCAACACATACGCATGCTGGAGAATTTTACCTGAAAAATGATTTCGTGTATGGACATTGCAACATAAATATTAGTAAGCAATGATGAAGCGATTTACAAATGTACTTACATAGTTATAGATCTTTAATCCTTGACATTAAATTAGCTTACTGATGAAGTGAATTTCATAACATTAGATTAAATAGTGTAAAATTTCTCTCACTAGTAGCGGTAAGTAACTTAAAATTTTTTATTTTGTTGTCAGTCAGATATAAGTTTTGATTAAATAGAAAAGTTTACGAGATATTGCTAGTATCTTTGCTATAGAATAAATCAATATGTAGAAGATTAAATTTTGCAGTTTTTTTGTGTTGTTTGATGTGCAAATAGTAAGCAAGTTTTTTTTGTTCATTTGCTTTTAGAGAAAGTGAAGGAGCCATATATACAGGAAAAGAATTCACTGCTAAGCAGTAACAGAGAACCTGTCCACATCGCAGGTGATTTCTCTCTTTAACACATTTATCATTGTGCAAGTAACACCTGTTTTCTTTTTCATTGTATTCATTGTAAAGTATTACCTCATTTATGTTTATCTTAGTTTATCAAATTGAATATTTTCAAATTATCTTTTACTTTATTTACTCTGCGTTTACTGACATGAACAAAAAAAATTTTTTTTCTCTGATATATTTGCTATTAATTTTGATAATTTATGTTAGAAATTATATCATAACTAATGAGAAAAGGCAATAAAATTAAATTTTTTCATTTGTTTTTAGGTTACGAACAAAAATCTCTCAGTATGTTTTCAATATATCTTTATTTATTTGAGTTTCACGAGCTTTCAACTTCGTATTAAAAGTAAAAAAAAAGTTTTTGCATGTGGAAAAATTTTCTATCTATAAGAGCTTCATTGTTTCCGTTTCATGTTATTCTTGTTATACCAGGAGAAAATTTGAAGGAAAAAATTTGCTACACGTAATTACCTATTTTTAAAATTAGAATAGACTGCATGACTATGAACGTCTGTTGGTTTGTCCACAATTTTCTTGAAATTATTTTTGTCCTTTATGCTAACACTCCTTATGTTTATTTGCAGTTGTCCAAAACTCATTCTTCTCTTTTCATTCCCCTCCATTTTGTGAATGGAAGTCTAATAAACCATAAGTTTTGAGTAAGGAAATTGCTTAAAATTTATATTTTAGAAGGCTTAATTTGATGCCATTTTGCTAAATAATTAAAACCATAACCAGGGAAAAGCTTCCTCCTCAAATTCATTTAACTAAAATGAAACAAGAACAAAATTGATTGTGGATCAACGGGCATTTTTAAAATGATTCATTTATACAGCAGAAGTTTCAACTAGTCATCACAATAACTTCTATAAAATTATGCTTTCTTCTATCCTCTCAAATATTTGTATAGCTTATATCACCGTTGTTCTTAAGAATAGCTTTCAAATATGTTATCAGCATAGTTTCACTTTTCAGAAATGATTCAAAGTTTTAGTTATTGATGAAATGAAACCAGAGAAATCATGGATTAGTAATGCAACCGAAAAAAATGGACCAATAGCCTCCGAGTTGACCTCCGAGTTGATCGAAAATGAAAGGTATCGCTTTCAGTAATTGTAGTATTTTCAAGTCTAAAAAAGTCTTAAATTCTACAATTTGTCTTTACGACAGTCTATTTATTCCTCTACAGGGATTACTTAAATAAGCCTTACAATCGCCAATAACTACTTAAAATGGATAGATGCATGCAATGCTTTTAGCAAACCGTCACTTACTAATCTTTCTAAATTCCATTACTTCACTTTGCAGCGAGAAGCAACAGGACATCGAGACAAATTAAACTGGATTGAGGTAATTGTTTTATAACTTGTTAAAAGCCGTAGGTGAGGTGGTCACTGTTCCATTACCACTTATCGCATCGCTATTTCAACCCAAATTGTTTTAGGGATTCTGATTCCACACTCCTGTTGAGTACATCATCTTCTTGAGAGTAGTTGCTTAGAGCAACTACTCTCAAGAAGATGATGTACTAGTTAAGTAGTTAAGTAGTTGCTCCTTTTCTTATTCCATCCCAGAAATGCACTAGTGCCTGCGAGTTTCTTATTCGGCTGTAGTCACCAAGCCTTGAGTGTCATTTTCTTTCTTATTATTTTCACAATAAGTCTGAAACCATTTAGCGATTACAGTATCCTCTCCAGTCTTCATGATGACATGTTTTGGTTGGATATTGATGGAGGCTGAATGTTCGAACAAAAATTTGAAATAATACAAAGAAATAAATTAATTAATAAAACGAGTATGAAATTAAGGACGTGATCAGTTGAATTAATGTTGCAGAAATAGATGGATGGGAGAGTTGACAAAGTAAAGGTGTTGAAGCGATAGGTTATCTAGTGATATTGCATTTAAACTAAGCAATGATTGAGTTTGAGCCTAAATAGGTATTTTATGTGAATGAAATAGGGTCCTGAAAGTCCCTATATGATTTAAGATTCAATAAATTTGGCTGTATAAGACATCATAATAAGATAAGTAATAAGCCTGATGCAAAAATAATGTACAAGTGACCAAATTGCTCATTTTTAAGTTTCATAACAAGCTCAATGTAACATGGCTTTATTTTGCTGCATTATTTTAATGCAATATATAAAATATGGGAACATAAAACGATATACCTCACGCTAAGCTTAGGAATATTAGTTAGTTAAAGTTAGTTAATACCATTGGATATAGATATCCTCTTCCTTTTCGCTTTTCTTCAAATAAGTCAATCACTGGTTGTTGATATTCATATCAAATATTCTCATAAGTAAGATCACATCAAATATTCTCATAAATAAGATTTTATTAGTTTACGCCAAGGTTATGCCCATATTATTTATTATTATTTTGCGTTGTGAAGGCGTCAGTTACAATTATATATTAACTGCTAAACTATTAAAAGCAAAAATTAAACAAAAGTTTAAGCAACTTCTGCCTTATTTGGGTGCTCAATGTATCCTTTTTTCTCTGGCATCATTTTTCTTCGAATCATGATAGTCAGTGAATTTGCAAACATCATGTAAACGTGGGCTTCATCTACACTGCACATGCTGAAAAGACTGCTTCGAAACATCATTTTTTTCTCATGTTTTTGGTAATTTAATTACTGTAGGGGTCGGAAAAAAAAGTGCAGTTGCCTGATTTCAGTTTTCAGTTTCGCAAAAACTAGACCTGCTCGTTATTCATTTAAAATTTCTTTTAATTGCTTTATAACCTGTGCTTTACCTGTCAAGACGTGCCTTTTCTTCTTGCTTTCACCTGTTCTGCAAAACCAACTTTTAGATAGATATTCAATTAAATCTTCATTTCTTAGCGATTTTTGTTGTTGCTCAATTCACTTACTTTCACAGTAGAATACATTAATTCTCTTTCCCATCTTTTTGGTAAAACTTCTATTTTAATTTGAAGTTATCAGTGTTCTGTTTTGCTAAAATTCTGTTTTAGAAGGCAATACAAGCTATAATTCTTTCCAATTTTTCTTTCCATTTCAATATTTTTCAAATATTTGATTTCGGTTCTCTAGAGAATTATTTTGATGGATGCCCCATCAAATTAATAAGCCATTTAATTCTTAAAACAAAATTTGCAATATTCTTCACCCACAAATTCCTTAGCAAAAATTATTTTTTAAGGTCCTGTAACCATTTCAATACCATTTTTACAGCTTTTTTCATAGTACAATATTTTATCCCAGGCACTCTTTACTATTCTCAGTTTTGGTGATTTTCTCAATTTTTACAATCATGTTCTTCACTATTGTCTCAGCTTCAATCATTATCATAAACTACTGATGATATGTAAATGCTTTACCAAGATTCGAACTAATTTTATTCAAATGTTTTTAAATTATTCAAATGTGTCTTTTCCATCAATTATTTATTCCTTTCTCCGAAACACCTCAAAGAAGACGGAAGGAAGTCAAGGTTTATATAATGCAAAGATTAATCGTATCGTAGTGATTTTCTGATTGTATATTTTTAGAATATGTTTACAACTATTGCCTATACTACATCATTTATGTTCCCTATTTATTTAAATGCAATTTTCGTGGTGATTTAAATTGTATTCTGTGATGAAATTACAGCTTTTGATTTATAAGTTAAAACTGTAAATCAGTAAATGCTTCAAATTTTAATGTGCATTCCGACATCTTGAGGTTAATATTTTGATCACAATTGTTAGTTCAAAGGTTAATGTAAACTTACTAGTAGTATAATCGTTTATTTATATTTATCTTGCATCCACTTAGTAAATAAATATTGTATCGTTATTTTCTTACTGAAAATCTTACAACTTTTTTTTGCATTCTTTCCAACATCTGTTGCTAACGTTTTTTGCAGAGTATTCGTTTTGAAGGAGAGTTTTAGTTTGGTGCGGTCGAGTTGTAGTGAAGTTTTTATTACCTTTTCGCCTTATAATATAGTCATGAATCGATCACTTAGCTGTTCTTCCTTACTGGTTGATCCAGGAAATAATTACGATTGTTGGTGAGATTGGATTGTTTTAATACAGTAAATCAAGCTGAACTGTTTTAACATAGTAGATCAGACTGCCTTCTCTATGAACTTTTTTTAACCAATCTATATGAAACTCAATTCTTCTTTACAGTCTCAATATTTTTACCTAGACAATTCAACGGTAGTAATTCATTTTATAAAGCTATCCAGAGAATCATTTACTTTTTTAAGTGATCTTGTCTAATTTGACAATAGTTTTTCAATACTTTACGTTTCTCTTTTTGAAATATAAATATTTTGTGCAATGCTACGCAGCGCCTGATCTTTGATTACTAATAAATTGAAAATTCTTTCATTATATGATTATACAATCTTTTATCGAACTCTGTGGTTGAAATTGATATGCAAATTCAACTATGTTGTTGAACTGGTACTTCTCATATAAATGATCATTTCGTAGGTAGAGATTCACAGATTTTTTAAATTCGAAACATTGTATTAAAATCTACAATGCTGGCTCGTTTTAAGTTGAAAAACAATGCGTAAAAAAAGAAAGAAATTCTATAAGCATTCAAAGTATAAATGAATTTGATGAAAATCACTTTTGTGATATAATAAATTTTAGTTTCTTACAAGTTCAGAAGTCGTCATATTTATTATTCAATATGAAGCAAAAAAGAAATGGAATATCATAAGCCTTGAAAAATTATCTAAGGCAAAAATGTGGAGCTGAGAAATGATTACATCAGCATAATTTAAGCTAAAACCAGAACCGCAACAAAAATATAATTAAAATAAGATGACATTCACAAAATAGAAAATTGATTTTATCACTTTAAATTATTATGTCCAATATATATGCCATTTTCAACGAGATAATGTTTGAAAAGATTTGTTTCAGTTTATGTAAAGAATTTGCCTGATTCAATCAGTCATCAGCATGGATGAAGATTGATGAAGAAATTAATATTTCAAGGATTCCATCCTGCTTCCTAAATCGCCAGAAGTCGATGCCAAGTTTTTCTTTAGTGGAAGCAAACTATCGATGATGAAAAATGATAATGAAAATTGGAGCACAAAAGTTTTAATAAGACTTCAAATAGGATTTGAGGAGCACAATATGAAAATATTCTCGAAATCCAAATTCCAAATATGAAAATGCTTAAAAGAATCAGCTTGAAAAAGACAGATAGGACGGTGTTAACAAGTTTTGATGAAAATAATTACCGTAACGCAATTATATTGAAGAACCGCAACTAATAACGGGAGTGATATGAACGGTGGAAACAAAAAAAATTCAGACAGAAGGTATATGATTCTTTATGTAGCAGATCGGAAAACTGACTTCTGTGTTTATACAAAAGTTTGAACTTTATGAGAAGTTAGAATGTTGGATTTTTTAATGAGATATTAAAAATCAGACAGCAATTTTTCTTTTCAACTAATAATGTACGTCTCTTTTTCAATCCTTTAGTTCCTTCCGTCTAGGATGAAAGCTGCCTTTTTTGTTAATGATAAAGAATGATTGTCTTTATTCAAATACATTCAAAATTAACTTGTCTTTTTTCATTGTAAATCGGAACTTTATTAGCAAATGACTTAGAAATAAAAAAGAAACAACAATTCTCAGCATATATTTATGTCGAAAGCTTTCCATTAGGTTATTTCCTTTGAATGAACTTACTCGCAAGATGTTAAAAGCTTTAACATAAACGCACAGATATGTTCCTCACAGCCAGATACTCTTAAACCACCTAACATTGTTACTATCCACTTTGCATCATTTCACCATAGCGGCCTTAGTTTTTATAATTAAAGCAGAGAACCATAATTTTTTTCTTTTTTGCAAGCACTCACTTCAATGAAACCGGTGATTGGGAAATTGAGATTTCATCTTCCAAACAAACAGAACTATAAATCTAACGATTTGACTCATTTACTATTGAATGCAATCAATTGCAGGGCATTTCTTTATGGAATGAGGGTACTTTACTTAAATCACAATCAGGTAGCTGAATTTACTCAGAAGAAATGCCAAGTAGCCAATGGTTCTGTGTAGTTACCACTTTTTTACTGTTTTTTATATATATATATTTAAAAAGTCATAATCTATAAACTACTGAGAAAATTTCAAGGTCACCAATCAAGAAGTACTTTATAATATAAAAACAGTAGATAGTTTAAATTTATTTTAATTGTAAATTTGGTACTAAATACGGCATCCGCATCTAATTACACTTTTGCTCATATATAAAAATTGCAGGTAGCATATTGATTATTAATATTAAAGAATAATCAAACCATAGAAATGCATTGTTCGCTGTTGTTACCTCCAACTGCAGATAACAGCTGCAAATAGAAATTTTAACATATACCACCTACTTTTGTCAGTATGCTTACATTGTAAAAGAAGGAAGTTCTACCACTTGTATACTGCAAAATTATTCGCAGTGAAAAAGATAATTTTATTCGAATTGCACCATTTGTTTTGTTTTTTTGGTCTACTATTAAATCGGCACACAACAACAAAAATTTCATGAAAGTATAATATATCAATCTTTTACCTTATCCCTCCTTAATGGGACATATATTGAATCAACAAATGTTTCTGCCTCTAAAATTGTATTAGCTTGCTCAGGTGTCAATGCTAACGACATCATTCGATTCATTTCCCGTCGTGAGCGCTGAAACGACGCAACAGTACTTTGGTCATGAACGAATCTCAAGTTGTTAGTGAGTTGAACATTATTTTTCAGCAATACTTTCTGCAAACCTAATTTTTTTGATAGACAATAAACTGGTATTGAGACCACAAAGAAAAGTTAAGAGTAAAAGAAAGTGAATCTGAAATATAAACGAACTGGAACTGAAAGTGAAAAGAACCAAGACGTTTTTCTTCTCAACCAAAACTGCGCATCTCTGATCAAGCTCCTTTTTCCATGTAAAATATGGAAAAAGGAGCTTGATGCTGTGAACTGTGAAAGTTGTGAGCTATGAGCTGTGCTCACAGCTATGACACAGCTTCTTCAACCTTAGTTGATTCAACAGTAAGCATTTGATAATCACTGCTACTACACATAGTGTTGTGTATCAGATAATCATGGCAAAGGCCATCCTTTGTAGGTCTTTCAGGGTAGAACTCCAAAGCAAAAAAAATCACTAGATAATCATTTTACAATAAGGTTGGAAACATAACTTCATAATAATTATCGATTTAATGAATCTACTTGAATTTTAAATTCATTGCTGAATTTTAGAGTTTTTTGATGTTTAAGTTTGTTGAAAAAGATAACTTTTTAAACACTAATAAGTTACAAACTTTAGCTGTTTGTGGGGAATGTCCAATCATTTTGTTTGGTATGAAATATTCATTTATGATTTCTTCAATGCGCAGTTTTCTTTCCATCTGAAATATAAAAATTCCTTCAAACAAGTGATTAAGAATACTTTTTTAGCAGTTACAGGACTAACACTGAATTGTTAAAACTAGCGTAAATACCTCTTTCATGGCTTTCTCTTTGAGATAAGCAGCACGTGATGGTGAAGCAAGTGCCCAAATTGTTTTGAACAACACTAAAATCAGTTCAAACAACGAAATGACACTAGCACCATAGAACAGACCCATATCGCTACCAATTTTACCTAAAACCTTAGGATTTTGATACTGATAATTATCTTAGTTGATGTCACAAAAGTACAGTCTTGAATTCAGTAATTTTAGCTTTGAAAAAAATATTGATCTTTCATCTAGCAAATGAGTGAAAACTTTTAATAAAAAGCAGACTTAATACAGATATATATATATATATATATATATATCAAGCAGAAAATACGCTTACTTAAATAATCTGACAAATCGGAAAGTATTGACTGCGAATACATTTTATACTTTTTTGAAGCAAAAAACACATGTACGGCTGCCAGATTGTTCCTTAACCAAACCATATATCATCAATTTATTCTGCAAATGCTGCTTTACATACAGCAACATCCAACTATTTGTAACAAATCGTGATACGATAATTAATTGACCTTTAGCACTATGTTTTGAACATGATAAAAAGCACTAAAACTCTCAAAAAAATACTCATGGAAAAAAATGAACGGAATAGAATCTGCAAAAATAAATTTGCAAATCACCTGACGTAATTGAGATTATAGTGCTGCTTCAAGCTTTCCATATATTCACCCAGTGAGGTAAGAATGTTATGGATAATAGAATTTTGTGTAAAATAAATAAAAGCATTACATTCCAGTATGCAATCTTGACACAAAGGGGAGTAGGTAAGATTATGCACAATACCTAAAGAGTAGCAAATCTGATAAATGAGGCTTGGAAATAATTTCCGAATTCTATTATTGTCCACAACATTATTATATTCTATTATCGTTGTTGGAAGCCACGAAAAATTTTATCAAAGTGAGGCAATGATCAGAGAGGAAGAGAAAGAGAAGAAAAGAAAAAGTTTCATCTACAATGACCAAGAATCTCTTAATATAGTTCTTAAAGTACTTACTCGCAATTTCTGTGAAGTTGCTAACACAGTCGAAGACCTCTTTCGGAGAGCAAAGCTTACCTTCTATAATGTAATTACTTTAAAAGTTTAGCAAGAATAGTACTTGACACTAAAAAAATACACTGCTTACATCACAATTTTGCTCACAAATTTGCTTAGTTTTATTTACTCATCTTTTATTAATGATTCTATAGTTTATGCTAAGTTTGACTGCCTTAAGGAAAAGACTTCACCTTTCATAACGTTATATTGGAGAGGGATGCAACCGCAGTTCGCAATAAAATACCTTGCTATGCAAGTCACTTTGCAAGCTGATGAAGAATACGTAAAATTGTGCGGTAGAGCTGACGGCCAGGCATTACGACAGGTACCTCCTTTAGATCGGTCCAAAAAGTGGTACTGCAAGGAGTCAAAGTAATGTTGAAGCATAATGAGTTATACTTCACTGAGTGAATTATTCAAAATTAAAAAATTAACTTTGATAGGCTTTAATCCTGCTGACAACTTATTGTTTGGTGAGACGACAAGAACTTCAGAACTGACGTATGAAATAATGTCCTTATCATGGACATACAACCGAAAACCAGGTTCGAAGTTGTTCAGAAACGGTTGCCTTATTCGGCTACCTGAAACACTTTGTTACTGGAAATTACTGCATTTAACTCTAGAGTTTTCATTATAAAATTCAAGTGTGCTTAAAACACTGTACAAATCACGTACTGAAATATATGTATCTGTAAAATGAAATAAAACGGAACTTGTTGAAAACCCGAAATTATTTTAATAGAAAAAGGTTAAAATCATGTGTGTACTTTATAAAAATTTATATCCTAAAAAATTATCTAAAATTATCAATTAAATAATTTATGGTTGTGTTTATTTGTTTATGAAAAATTCTACTTATTTACTTATGATTGAAACTTACATAATTAATTACCATTATTTTTCTGATCTTTGATACTTAAATGGCTATAAAAGATAGTCACAATCTTATTCCATGATTATTCCATTCCTGTTCGGTGAAGGTAGAGATGTTTTTTTTCTGATTTCAATCTTATTCACAAAGAAAAGTTTGTCCAACTTTTCAGTATCATACCTTATTGTTATTATTCGAATCCAAACAAATTCTTTCTGAACTGCTGCTTCAACAAACCCAAAACTACACTCTCTCTCCAATCAACAAGTCAACTAAGGGTCAAATTTATTATTGATAAATTACTGGTAATACTAGCAATAATCCTATAATGCCTAAGAAAACATCTCTACCTTCACCGAAAAATTCGATTGTGTCAAAACAAAGCTCTTTTCAAACAATCAAATCAAAAATTCACAACAGAACCACGTGTATTAGATTTACAGTCAAAGTCAATGAATATGATACCTGTATAATTCACCAAGTAAATTTCATTGTACGACTGGTAATCAAGCATCACTTGGAATCTGAAAGGAGAAATTACAATGTCAATTCACAAGCAGTAAAGAATTTCAGTCTTAAAATTAATTGTTTTTTAAAATACTATTGGTATTTCATAGAAATCTTTTTACATTATTTTCATGCTTTCCTTAATGAATGTAGTTAAGAACATGAAAATAATGTGATGTCAATTGAGAATTAGAAGACACGATGTCAACTCAGAATCATAAAGTGACCTGGGTACTTTGTAGGCAACATTTTCATGAGTTTCTAGTCTCCTAAACTGATTATAGCTGCCAGTTCCTTATTTCCAAGATGGCCCATCACTTAATGCTATAAAAAAAGTCTCACAAATGAATAGCTTATGATGCAAATTAAAGCTTACCCATGAACGGACCCAAAGTGATAGGAAGAGCTGAAATCCTTGCTTAGTTTGTTCCAATCAAACTGTAAACAATATCCGAGGTCGGTGAGTACAGCGGCTGAGTATCTTTCATTACAGCAATCGAATATGATACCTTCGAAAGCACACTGCACAAAGGCCTCTTCACATTTGAAACTATAATAATAATTTTCAAATGATGCCCATAGTTATTAATAGAATTATTCGTGTTTATCAACTAATACTAGAGAAGTTGTCCATAATATTAGAACACAAAATCCTGTATGAAATCAATCTGATTGAAGCGAAAAATTTTTGCTTTCTTGCTACTAAATTTCCAAAACAAAACCTAGCTTCCTTGACGAAAGATTCCATAGTAAAATTCTTATGTGTAAACATATAATCTTGTAACAATCTTTCTCCCTCAAGAAGACTGTCCATAATATCCATTTCAACAAACTGTTCTGGGCGTAAAAAAGCATGTAACAGATACATCAATAGTTCATTGGAAAAATTTGTCGTTCTCTTCAGCTCTAAATACAAGCAAGATTAAATATTAATTTTTTATAGTAAAATTAAATAAGCACAAAATGAGCACCAAATTAAGTATTAATTAAAATATAAACTTCACACTTTTTTTCTGAAAAAAGTAAACCAATTTACTATTCATGAAAGTAAAAGGAATAAAATATGTGAGATGAGTAACAAAATAAAGTGTTTCAAAAATTACCTTACCTTCAATGTAATCACGTCGTACAGGATTATGGCTGCATATCGTTATTGATGGACCATCTGCATAATCGTATACTATTTCTACCTAAATTTTGCAACTAACTGCAAATTATGCTGTGACTTGAGAGAAACTTGGCTTACCAACTTAAGTTTATACCAAATGTGCATGAGCTTCACAAAATATTTGCGTATATGACCACAAAAAAGTCATTAATAAATGGATATTAAGGAGTATTCTCATTCTTTCGCTTTCTCTTTCTTTTATTAACTGTATGTAAACGGTATTTTTGCTAACTGTATTCAAACTTTTTTCCTTGAGTAGTTTAGAGAAAGATCACTTGTTTTATGTTTTCGGAACACTCATTTAAGCTTTTACTTTTGAAAAGAATGAACTATGAAAAGCATTTACCTGTGTCCTAACACCTCCCGCCTTATATTGCTTCGTTAATGCGGCTATAATGATAACAAAAATTACACCCGTTGAGATAGCCATGAGCAGCCAGAATAAATGACCGTAAGTTTTTCCGGCATACAGTCTATAACATCCATGCAGTTTTGTTGTTCCTGAAAATATCGAAGTAGCTGGAAGGTAACGGAATAAACTCATACAAATGCTTGGAAAGTAATAGTGAAAAATCGCTTTATTCCTGTAACATATTTCGTATTTCGAATCAATTATTTTTGATGCTAAAAGCAATTTCTTATCCATTAACCGAAAAAAAAGAATTACCCATCATTTGCAAGAATTCCCTCTTAATCGCATGCTTCATTAAACTCCTCCGAATGTCAATTTCCTTAAGCCAATTAATTAACCATTTTATTTGAGGCAAAGCCATAACTGATTGGCTCCGAGAAAAGCGTTCGCTGTATTGATAAAATATACGTGAAATCTGAATCATTTCAAAACATTTCTTTTCATTACAAAAGTAAAGAACATACGATCGCAATAAATAGATGAAAACTAAACATTGGCCAAGTTAATGAGAAGCCAATGAGGAAAATGATAAAAAAATAAACCGTAACAAACTGAGTTAACCTGAAAGTGGGAAGTAATGGAAACGGATGGAAAGTTAGGTAAAAATGTTATTTCATTTGGGCGAAGGAGTGCATATGGACCATTTTATTAAATCAAAAATACTGTGGAAAAGATTTTGCTCAGTACCATGAATTCAATCAATCTTCTTGTGGAAGCAATTTAAAGGACCGATCCTACCTAATCATTTAGATAACGCTATTATCAAATCTAATCATTGATAAAAGGGAAAGATGCAATAAAAAGAACTATGAAAAGAATTCATACAATGTAATGGTTCTCTCAGTTCAAATAAAGAATGAAATTCATTGTTCGATAAATAACTTATTAGAAACTAAGAAACTTGTTAGTAAGCTAGTTGTAATAAAATTCTAGCTTATTAGAAATAAAACCACAAAATATACTGTTTCAAAACGGACACATATAAATCTTGGTTTATCAATTTAATAGACTATCGCCACTTAGTTCATTTTCGAAAAAACTATTAAGGTATGTTTATCGACAAGTTTAAGCTTATCAGCAATATCACGAGAATTATATCACACTGCAAAGGATTCACTGCTTACATTGGTTTGCCTCACGTAATAGATGAAGTTTTATATATAGGACGTGTAAGATGGATAGATGGCAGAGGAAGGAGAAAAACACAAATGTAACGATACCATCAAAGCGATGTTTGCGGTTGACACTAATGTACACAGCAGTATTGTCATCAACAATAATCGGAGGTGAATTTTTATCAGCAAGACTATACATTGATAAATTCATGCTTTTTGCTCTACTTACTTTACCTAATATGTTGAAAACATTTCTTGAACATCGTTTACAAAAAAAACTATTTCTCTTCTCGTAACAAGTTCATAACACGTCTTGTATTCACTGATTGATTGATTAATAAGTAACTAAAAGTCCTATAAACATTGCGGTATACATAAATAATATTATGGCAAGAAAGTACATGTAAAAGACTGCAATCTTAAGAACATCTGTTTATTTTTGTCATACTCTTTAAAACACCATAATTTTCAGTCACTTTTCATGTTTATTTTTTTGGAGAATTAATAAAAGAAAATTTTTAGAAGTTTTGGACAGGTAATGATAATGATACGTCAGACATGACAATACATATTGTCTGTTTATAAGTAACCCATTATAGCTGATAAAATATTATCCTCAAATTTAGTTAATAAAGATAAATTTCGGAAACTGTTCAAATATTGCATATTTGAATGATATCCAATTATATTTTCACACACATGTCTCTCAAAAAAGGTACACGAAATTTTTATATCAAAATTTTACACTAAAAACAATTGGCATAGGTAAAAACATGCATGATAATCACTTGACTCATTAATACATTCTCTTTCAATATCACTGTCGAGAACAAACTCGAAACTTCTCGAAATTAATTTCAATCCAATATCTATCACATAGCCAAACCAAATAATTATACTAAAGATTTCTTCTTAATGGTTCATCATTTGTAATGTTTCCGTTAATTTTCACATTCTCAAACTTAATTCGCACTTTAATCTTTATCTCAATTATTTTTGCTCCAAATAACTAATCTAAACGTTCCCATCATGTTTAGCCGCTTTCAGATTATAGAACCGTTTTCTTCTCACAAGTACGTTCCTTGTCATGTGAATTACCATTTTTGGTGAACCATATCCTTATCCTTGCATGGGAATTCCGTTC